CCCCCCCCCCCCCCCCCCCCTGTCGAGCAATTGCTCATAAGGGAAGAGTTAGAAAGATCTACAGCATCCTGAAATGAAAAGAAAAGAAAATGAACACATTCAAACTCAAAAAACGATTTCATCAATACCTGATTTCCAGTGCATGGTCTTCTCCATCTCCTTCTTTGGTTGTTTTGCATTGATCCATGGATCTAACACATCGTTTATTGCTGCAGCGAACTCCCGGCTCTTGTAAGATTTCATAACTAATTCATGTAACTTTCCCCGAGTGTATCCAACAAACTGAGGATGTAATTCATGAAACACACTTGAATTTGAGATGAGACCACCAAGGGAAGTGGCCCCAGATACTGGAACTGGATCTTTTGTTGTTTCACCAAATAGTGGAGTTTTCTCCCTCTGAATCTTTCTTGCCGATTCAGAACATTCTGCAAGAGATGTAACTGGAACCCACACCCTATCAAATTTCCTGAAAACACTACTGTGCTTTTGAATGACACCCTGATCTGCTAATAACTGTAGCTCTGAAAACGACGCAGGCCCACATTCATGCCCAGCCCCATCAAGGTAATACCAATCACCTAAATGCAACTGTAAGTCAGCATATGAGCAAAGCCGATCTTTGGGGATGCTAATGAAAGCAGTAGTTTTCAAAAATCTCTCTGGACCTACATCTCTAGCAATTTTCAACTGAGAATCACCATCAGCTGACAAACGCTTCCCATCACTATTTGTAGAGAATAGCTTAGAAGACCTTGAATGCCCCTTACCCCTAACCTTCATGCGAGGCTCAGAGACAAATGAACCATGATCCTTTACCACACAAGCATTTATCCTGATAACAGGTAGCATAGTTCCTTTAGTTCCCCTCATTGTTAATGGTGTCCTATCATCGAGACAAGTAAATGCCCAAGGAGGCAGATCAAGTCGTTTACTTTGGGAAGGATAATACAATTCATCTTTCTGATGCCATCTAGGATCCTCATAACCTGATTTGGACATCTGACACAGAGGAAAACCATCATTTAGAACAAGCTTCTTTCGAGCATTTCTTTCTTGGGCAGATTCATCATTTCTCCTCCAGTCACCACCCTTGCAAGACCATGGTCCAGAAGTCAAGTCACAATCATCAATGCCAAAGTCCTTTTCTGATGATACATTTGTCTTGGAACCAGTATCCGCTGATGTTGCATAGTCAGTAAATTCCAAAATACCATCGGTACTCTGATCAAGCTGTTCACCAACATGATCTGAGAAACCTGTGAAGATCAAGATTAAACATTGGAAGGAGCTATATTTCACCCAAAACTGAGTCCAAGTATCAAAATGAAATCTTTTATTTAAAAATTGTTTTTTTTTTTTAAAAAAAGAAACCCTCTCGCCCCTTTAGTGTGGAAGTGTGAGAATGCAGTAGAAAACCCTGAGAACGCACTTACAAATTGTCAATTTGCTCGCAATTTAGTCATCCTTCTAGAGATGTTTAGATCAGGTTGTGTGCAACTCAACTTCTCAAGAATTTTCTTACGTAATCAATGCTAGGAACTTTGAATAGCAAAGCCAGATATTCATCACAGGGCATGGCATGTTACCTAGCTTTCAGGGAGAGTTCTTCTTCCAAGATGCCATCATTACTCCCCTTTGTTTAATTAATACGTCTTTTTTAGAGATTTTTAATTACACACTTTTTTTTACTAATAACAAAGGGAGTGTATATTTGTTTTCGCGCTTAGCATTTGGCTTCTAGCTTTTCGCTTAGGATTTTGGAGGGTGTCTTATGTTCCCCACACAATTCTTTCACATTTTCATTAGTTAAATTCAATATCCCTAAAGACAAAAATGAAAGTTATAGAAGAATTAACATATACCTTCGGAGATGGCCAATCTTTCCCATTGTCCACCATCAAAAGTCATCTGCAAAACTTCTGCAAGAAAACAAATCGACCGGGAAAATCAATAAATCTCCATGACCAAGGCAAGGAGGGATTTGCAGAAAAAATTGAGAAAAAGTGAAAGAAGTTAGAATAAGAACCTGCAATAGTTTCAAGTTCTCTGCCAGGAATAACAGTAATATCCTCTAACAAAGCGCCAATCCTTTCATCAATGTGAAGATCTCCTAATGGCTCAGAAGTATCCGCACCTTCGTCAGAACATAAAATTGGCCCAGCAGTTGAAATTTGTTTTTGTTCAGAATCGCCACTTTGAGTATCTGTAGTATCTGCCAATACATTGCCTGAAGCTTCAGGGGGGCTCACCAACTGAGTTACAGAGTCTGGTATAATGGATGGAAAATTTACGGTGACCAAAGGAGAAACAGCATTCTCGACGGTCACCCATCTATCACTATCCAAGTGCTTGATAAAATGATCCGACATTAAAGAACCTTCTTCAACAAGTGCCTTCAGATCATACAGTCTAGAAGGTCCACGTTCCACACCATAATAATCAAGATAAAACCATTTACCCGTTGATGTATCAGTCACCAAGGGAGCATGTGGCGGGGTATCACAAATATCCATATCCTCCTCCATAGAAGGCAGCTCTTCAGGAACTCCATCCACATGAGGTTGTTCTATACAAGTTTGGTTTGGACTCTGAGACTTCTCCCCTTCATAAGACCTGCATTCACCAACAGTCTCCATCGATCCATTGGCATTTAGCTCAATGATCTTATCACAGGATTCTTTTGTTGTCACAATTGATTCCCTTCCATCAGGGTCCTTCAGTGTAGTTTTATCTTCCCGAGTTCTACTTCCATTGTGCGAACTGTGTTTTTCATTTCCTTTACTTCTTCTGCTTGATTCTCTATGGCTATTGGACCTACTCCAATCAAGAGGTGATCTGTCCAAATAGTTTGGTGTTCGATCCCTACGACTATGACATCGAGCTCGATCTTGCGGGGACCGCTCTGTATGAGGACTGCGATAACGATGGTCATAGTGTCGACTCCGATCATATGGCGATTTATCACGACCATATGGTGATCTTTCACCAATGTATGGTGATCTATCCCGATGGGCAGGGCTGCGATCCCTGATATCATGATGCCGGGATTTTTCACGAGGTGACCTATCAGAATGACCTGGGCTATGCCCATGTCTGTTATAAGCTTCCCGAGATGAAGTAGAAGAAGATTCATAATGCCTTGACGAGAACTTATCAGATGAAGATACCCGAGAAGAAGACGAAGAAGAATTTTTACAAGACCTTTCCATAGAACGGATTGAATAATGATCAGAGTGGGCAGCTCTACTGCTATCCTCTGAAAGCCTCCTGCTTTTTGACCCTGCATAATCCCCATAATCACCATAATGTTTGCGCTCAAAATTATCCGACTCTTGACTATAGCGCTTCAAACGATTGCTAGAAGAATAATCTTTCCCAAAATTCTTACCATCGCTGTAGTCATTCCTGTGAGAAACTTCATCGTTCAAAACTTTCGAACCATACCTCGAGCCTCTGTCTTGGCCAGTCTCCCACCTGGGCGTACTTTTACTGAGCTGATTGCCACTTCGATTGAGTTCCTTCCTTCTATTAACATCATCAGTTGGGTATTTAACAACGGGTGGCGTTGGCTCACGCACACCTTTGCACCCTCGGTCCTTCTCGGGCTCGTATCTGCGTGTTCTTGAATAACGAAATTCATCCTTCACAATATCAACTTTTTCCCATCTATCAGGAATGAACTCTCCCCTCTCAATTTCATCCTTAGCCAACCTTCTTGATCTACTCTTCTCTAAAACTATCTCCCCTTTCTCTATATCCCCTCTTCGCCACTTTCCCCGTACATGCTCTCCTTTATCAGTCTCCGGTATCCTCCATTTTTCACTGTTCTCAATTCCACCTTTTCTTGACTTCTCCGTAACAAGCTCCCCATTGTCTAATGTTCCGAATTCACCCTCTTCAACTTCATCTTTCTCAGCATTAACAACGCCGTTTTCAGCATACCCAACTTCTCTGCTGCTCTTCCCTGCCTTATCCAATCCTGACTTTGTTCTTCCCAATTCAACATCCTTCGCTACGACCTCTTCTTTCTTCACCTTCATCTTCTGCTTCCGTTCTGCCTCACTGAATTTGACTGATGACTTTGAATTGAACCCATTATTCTTACCTGAACAAAGCATTTTCTCTGAAGGAATTGGATACGTCTCAATAACATGCTGCTGTTGTTGCTGCAAAGGTAGGCACGCGACGCCTCCATCGCCCATGGAAATCCCACCTCTATCACTTAAAACTCAAAACCCTAACTCTCCCTTTCACCAGGACTCTCGATGCTCATACTGCGATACCTTCAAATCCCTGAATCTTCCTCCAATTCAAAACACTGTATTCCAAAAAACAAAAACCAACACCAAAGTCAAGCCCAAGCAATGTAGGGTTTAAAAAAAAACAACAAAAATCAAAACGAACAACTCGCGAAATTCGCGAAACAAGTAATCACCCCCCTCGCCTCCACCCAACAACAACCCCACTCTCAATCCCAAAAACCTATCAATTCAATTCAATAAACGTAAAAAGAAACCCATCCGAAGAACAGAAAAAGAAGAAAAATCGGAGAAACACAAAATTGAAGGAAGAGTGAATAGATCCAGAGAGAAGAAGAACAAAAACGGAAGCTGCAACAGACCGTAGAGGGCGCGCGCAAGAGAGAGTGAGGGAGTAAGCGATGGAGGGATCAAGGAGAAGTGAATTAATTAGAGGTTTCAGAGATGAATCTCTGTGGCTCTGAAAATCTCCCTCTTCCTTTTAAAACTTATGAAAAAAAACATTTCCTATCTTCCTCGCCTTTAAGCGCCATATCTTTGAGTCGCTCTTTGGTTGCGTTCTATGTTGGTCTGAATCAGGAAGCCTTCTTTGTTCTTTTTTTTTTTTTTTTTTTTTTTTTCTTTCCGATTTTTGCCCTTTGGTGAACTTATCAGGGTCAAGGAACTAAATGTGTGAAATTACCAATAAGGACATGGGTTTTTTGACGGCGAATCGGGTTGACTCGGGTTTTTGCGCTGATTTGTTTTTTTTTTTTTTTTTAATTTTAATTATGTAACTCAAGTTTATTTTATTTTATTTAATATCTATATTATTGTGTTCTACTATTTTAAAAAATACGTTTGTTTTATTATTATTATTATTATTAGTTAAATTTAAAAAAAAATTAAAAAAATTGAAATTACTTATTTTAAAAAATGGGTTTTCACGCTGATTATTTATTTTTTTAAATTATGTAACTCAAGTATTTTCTATTTTTGTAATATCTATATTGTTGTGTTCTACTATTTTAAAATATGTGTTTGTTTGTTTTTTTATTATTAGTTAAATTTTGAAAATTACTATTGTTTACTTATCGAAAATATATGTAGAAAAGGTTACAAAATAGGCAATTAAATGTTTAGATCAAATAATGGAATTTTCATTTTTGTTCTTATTATTTTAAGCTTGTGAAACTACGGGAATACCCCTGTACGAGTGCGGCGTAAACAAGATTTTTTTTTTTTTTTTTTTTTTTTTTAANACTAATGTAAAGACGCCGGTTTTTTTCCGGGTGGGGTGGAGGTGAGTAGGGGTATTTTGGTAAATGTGTAATGGTTTTGGCGCTCAAGTTTTTTGGGGGGTCGAAAAAGGAGGGATTCATAAAGCGTCGTGATTTCGTGATGGGCTTGCAATTTGGCCCGTTATGAGATTTCGGGCCGACTAACTTCAACTAAATTGGGCCCATGCAATTTGGCCCAATAAGGGTTGGAAAAGAAGTAAAAGATATCGTCGACAGCAGGATTCGAACCTGCGCAGGCAGAGCCGGAAGAAATTAGAGAGCGCTGTGATTTCGTGCTGGGCTTGCAATTTGGCCCGTTATGAGATTTCGTCGTCGGCCCAAACAAACATCAACTAACTTGGGCCCAACAATTGTCAGAAAAGAATGAAAAAACAACGTCGACAGCAGGATTCGAACCTGCGCAGGCAAAGCCCAACAGATTTCGAGTCTGTCTCCTTAACCACTCGGACATATCGACTTTTTGGCAAGACTCGAAGAAGGAGACTTTACACGCTTAATGATTTCGTGCTGGGCTTGCAATCTGTCCCAGTATGAGATTTCGGGCCGACTAAGTCGGCCCATATATCAACTAAATTGGGCCCAATCATGGCAAAAAAAAAAAAAAAAA